ATAACCACCCTGCAGAAAAAGACAGAACTCTGAGGTTCCTGTGTTTGTGCTGCGTCTAATACAGATAATATAAAGAAATGAATTGCCAACAAACACAACGCTGCTTTAATTCCCTGACACTGAGGAAATTGATCTCCAAACTCAGGAAGGCAGCGGGGGAAGTCAATACCCTCATTGCCTCCTGGGAATTGTAGGCATTACAAATGGATTAGAGTGCTTTTACATCAATACTGGTTATCATTACGGTAGCCTGTTGCTGTTGTGAGGAGGAAGGCTGGTTGTGTAGTTCATCTCTGAATAACAAAGACTACACATGTCACTACTGTACCATCAACTTCTCATGTTCACTGCTTAGAGATGATGAAGGGAAAGGAGCAGGATTGAGAGGCATGAGTCTCTGACATTTCAAGAGATCATCCATCTTTTTAAGCTACTGCAAGCTCACATTAGTGTCCTAACTTGGTGCATACACTCACACAAGTTTAGGCATCTGTGTTTGTGAGGACAGTGAATGGCATAATGCTTTCACATTAGAAACAATATCCCTTACAAGACCCTGATGCTAGGATGAGAAAAGCATGCGGAAGCCATGTGCTGTCTTTTGTTTTGAAGCGTCATCTTGTTTTTTCTTCCTCTTTTTATTTGTTGGATCACTTCTTAATTCTTCCTGCAGTTCAGCTGAGATAACGACAAAATCTGCAATCTGCACACCGTGACAAAAAGAAAGCAATTAAGGAAGCAGTCTGTTAAAATCACAGGAAAACATGTGGAACTGCTGGATGAGAAACGAAAATCTGAATCCATTTTTCCTGTGCAAAAGTCTTGAGTCACCCATTATTTCTTTGTATTTTGTTTCCAAATATCCCAAAGAGCTATTGGCTGGAAAATTGGCATATATGCCTTTAAAAAACTGAGGAAAGTGGATAACTGGAGAACAAAAGAAGAAGTGACATGCTTAAAAAACTGTCTACAGCAGATGAACATTAGCGGAAAGTCGTGTCCTTGAGAAACAGGAAAAAATCCAGACACAGGCATCTGTCCTTTCAGCCAATCATCTACTGATCCCTGAAGCCTCAGCAGAAATGGTCTCAGTGGAAGGGTCGCTGTCAAAAACCCAATATTAAGTAAGGGAAGAGAAATCAAAATGAAATCATTCAGTACCATCTGGAAAGCATCTGAAACAACAGCTTCATTTTTCAGCATGACAGTGATCCCAAACACACTGCCAGTGCAGTAAAAGCACACCTGGATAGGAAAACACACAGTGGAACGCATCAGTCATGGACTGGCCTCCCCAGAGCCCGGACCTCAAAGCAGTGTGGAGTCATCTTGACAGGATAAGAAAGAAAATTATAAACAAAATGTGTTTAGAATTTTACATTAAGGTTAACTGTGTGGTTTAAAGTAGCTTGTTATGTGCCCTGTAAAGGTGACCCAGTGCATAAGTTTATTAATTAGAAAGTATTTTGCAGTGGTCTTTTAAATGTAAATTTAATGGATCTTACTGTGCAAGCACAGCTGCACATAAGTGACTCTGTGAATGTATTTTTATGTTGTTGTTGTTTGTTTTTCTCTTAATGAAATGCCAAAGTGAGCAACCAGTTAACCTTACAAGCCTGTGTTTGGACTGTGGGAGGAGAAGCCATGCAGTTACTGGGAGAACATGCAAAGTAAACACAGACAGGCCCCAGATGACCAGAATGGTTTTTTTCATCCAGAGCCTTCTTTTGTAAAACAATCAAATGCTTTGTTGCTAGTCCTTAACTCATTTTAATTTCTGTAGCATTTATTTCCCCCTTTGGACTCCTATAACTAAACATCATAAATCGTAAATATATCTGCTCCTTCATATCATCCCCTGGGCATAGTTTCCTCTTTTTGATTTAGTTTGAAATGTTTCAATAAATATACACTGACAGGACTGTATCATCTCTGTCAGCCTGTCCCAATTCTTCACTGAAGCTTCATGATAAAATATTTATACCAAAGACCATCCACCCATCTTTTTTAACCTCTTATCTGATAGGGGGAGCTTATCCCAGCAGTCATATGGCGATAGGCAGGACACACTCTGGACTAGTTACCACAGAGAGACACACAATCACACACTCTCACATCAGCACCAATTTACAGGCACCAATTAACCTAACGTGCATGTTCCTGGACTTCATTAGTAAATCCCTGCAGACACAAGGAGAACAAACCCGCTTCAACATGTTTTTGTGTGTTATGTTATACACATTACCCTAAAGGGAGGGCTTCAGCATAAATTTGAAATAAAGTAATGTGGATTTGGGGTGTGCAGTGGATGTAGTTCATATCAAGAAGGTTCTGGGTGGCTGCCTGTGCCTGCATGGGTTCTTTCCAGCTTCCTCCCCCAGTGCAGAGACATGAATGTTAGGATAATTGGCGATTCTAAATTGGCAGTAGGTGTGGATTTGAGTGACAGCAGTTATCTGTGTCTTCCTATTATCCCCGTGATGGATAGATAGATATATACATAGCCTGCCTCTTGCCAAATGTCAGCTGGGATAGACTTCAGCCCCCCCACAATGCTTGTTGGCTAGGCTGTTAGGACAATTGATAGGTGGACTAAAGGGAATTCAATCAATATATTATTAAAGTCATTTAAATATATGGATACATTGGTAGAAAATATAGGAATGGATGACAAAAGTGCAAAATTGCAGACCACAATTTCAATTAATCCTTTCTTTTAAAGTTCCGTCGTTAAAACTGGCTCACACTTAAAATTTTAGTGACGATCAGGGATATTTAAAGCCATAGATACGTCTGCCTTAGGCTGCTAAATTATAGATAAAAATCAGTGGATTGCCCCTTTATCTTTAGCCCAGCAGTGTGCTAAATGCAGCCCACCAAAGGTCAGATTCAACCCAAATGACAGCCTTTTTAAAAAAGTTTTCTTTAATGATGAAAAACCCTACGACTGCCAGCCTAACTGCACAGGAATTAAAATTCATCATTCATCATAAAAAAATCTACTCGTGAAGGTTTTGTGCCTTTCCGAAAAGGCCAAACTGTCTCTCCATGAGACACAAATGAGCATAAGCATGCACACACAAACCCTCCCAGATCCTCTGACTTAGCTTTTGGCAGCAGTGTCACAATTACTACAGACCTCACAGCCTCACCGTTGACTTCGCTGCCTCAACCGACTGTGAGTGCGAGTGTGAGAGTGAGTGCGAGCGTGCGATTGTGAAAACAACTCCAAGTGTTGTTAGATGACTCTACTCTGTAACAGCTCGCTGTGTCAACGTCAGCCGTGCAAGCAGACGGCTAATGAAGGCAGCCCGAGTCGCCACATGGTGCCGTGTGACATGTGCTGGCATCTTCGTGCCTCCTTCACCAACTTTGTTTGGTGACTCTGCACTCCAGAGGATGCGTCTGGAATAAATATTCATTGTGAATTCTTCTTCAGCTCAACAAACAGGAAGAAGAACAACATAAAAAGTAAACAAATGTAAATGTCATTGGCTTAAAAATTCTCATCTGTCAACCTGATGAGAGCTGATGGCTCTTGGAATGAAGCCTTTTTCAACAGCACATTGCTGTGGGATATAAATATATATATAATAATAATCATTCTTCGGTCACCCAGTCCTATCATTTGCTCATGAAGGCATCACTGTCATGCAGAAATGCACCATGAGGACTCGTATATGCCAAATTCTTGTAGGCAGTCCACTTTAATCCAAAATGAATGTGAGTTATCCTTTTTTAAATGCTGAGAACACCCATAAGACATATTTGAGAACAATTGCATAGCAAAATGCTTTCACATTAAACGCTTTGTTAAAAAAATAATAGCTGCTGGACTTAACTGTGTGTGACACAGAGACTTTAAGCTAAACTACAGGCTAGTGAGGTCATAGACAAAGTTGAAGTTGAATGTCCACCATAAACTGGCAGACTTAAGGCCCACACTGGCTGAGGAGAGGATGCGATACCAGAATGCAGCCACATTTCTGTCCTTGATGACTGCATTAAGATTGGATAAAGAATTCGATGGCAGACAATTACCTGTCCTTAAATATAGAAGAAAAACAGAACTTTCTGGAATTCATTCTTACTCTGCCTGAGCAAATCATCCCTGGATCGCTTACAGATGAGACTGCTCACCAGGTCATCTAAAACCTCCCATGTCACACCAATTCTGTCCTGTTGACACCAGCTCCTCATTAGGTTTAAGGTTTTTCACTCTCAGAGCTCTTCATGGTCAGATGCTTCCCTAAATTAGTAAATGCCTACATCCATACCTAACTACGGGGTGTATGAAGTGAGCTGATCGATGCTTCTTAGAGGTACTTCAGTCCAGGTTAACGACAAAAGAAGATTGTGTTTTTGAGATGTGGCCTCCAAGTTGTGGGATTTGTTTCCAGTTGTATTGTTGTATCTTATTTTATCCTGTAAGGCACTTTGTGACTGCCTCTTCCTTTCTGTGCAAAGTAGCTTTGTCAGCTATTTAGGTTACCTTCGGAAAAAAAAAAGTCACAGTTAAGTACACCAGCCTGTAGATCCACCTTTAGCATCAATAACTGGAAGTGATCGTTTCTGTGTGACTTTATCAGTCTCTCACATTGTTAAAGAGGAATTTTGTTCCAATATGTTTTTTGGCTGTTTATTTTCTTCCTTAACAAAGGTGGTGGAGTTTAGCGAGTTTTTTCTCAAAGCAGACTTGATTGGAAATCATGGAATGCACAATAAGTGAATGTGTGTGCTCTGTGTTTTACTTTAATTGTAGTCAGTGACATTCATAATTTGACCAATTATAAATCAAAGTGTGACATCCTGGTTGAATTTCCCATCTTAAAGGTCAGTTTATGCAGCTTATTTACTATACCTAAAGGTTAAAATGTGCATAAAGCCCTACATCACCTCCCCAGACCACAGTGTACACTGAATAACATGTATTACTACACAGCAATGTGTAACACTGACATCTAATATCACTTGTCTGTCACTGTGTCCTCCTGCTCCAGGTACGTGTCTGATTCTGGGCTGCATGATCTACCCAGATGGCTGGGACAGCGACGAGGTGAAAAGGATGTGTGGCGAACAGACGGATAAGTACACACTAGGCGCCTGCTCGGTGCGCTGGGCCTACATCCTGGCCATCATGGGCATCCTGGATGCTCTCATCCTCTCCTTTCTGGCCTTCGTCTTAGGAAACCGCCAGGACAGTCTGATGTCTGAGGAGCTGCTAGGAGACAGTAAGAAGACACCTGCACACGCTTCCTCTTTGGGGCAGTTTTTATGGTGTTTTATGGTAATATTTCAAGAAATTACATTATCTGCACCTCACCAGGTGTGGTCAATTAGCAATTAAGCCTAGGCAACACCTGAAGTGTCTGCAAAGACGATAAGGGGTGCAGAGAGGTTTAACAATATAAATTATATATATACCTATGGTATGGTAGAATTTTTAAGACTGATATCGATGTGTATACCAATACCAAAACCAACATTCCAGTATGTCAGCCGATTACATTTTCTTTCAGACAAACAAAAACACAATCAAATTTCTCTAATATTTGCTATGTGTAGTTATTTATTCAAATAAATGATTCAAACAGGGAAGCTGCAAAGTGCCCTCTGGTGGATAAACTATGCAACATCAACACTCCTAACGTGGTTAAAGGGTGTTTCTCCTGTCTCTTTATTTTTTACATTTTCATATAAATGCAGAGGCCAATAAATTGACAAATCGGTAATATTGGCTGATAATATGAGCCTGCTGGTAATTCGGTTCAGATGAATCAGTCAATCACATCAAAACACTTGTTGTTAGGCACACTTATACAACCTGCTCAAAAATAAGCTGGAAAAGTTTTCCTGTGATTGAACATCTAAGCCCTGCAGAAAGTCATTACCCGTTGTTCGTCAGATTTGTGTCGTCATTGCAAATGCAATTTCTAAGAATAAATAAATAAATATCTTTATTACTTTCCAAACCCATTTTATAGTAATTGAGGCAGTTGGGTATACAGCAAACAAATAACGGCTGCAGTGCAATTATACCTGAAATGAGATCCGGGCTGTTTTCAAAGAAAAACAAAAGAGGTGCTACTGAACTTATTAAAAAATCAATTTGACTGCTGGACTAAGAGAATAAGCAGCAGGTCCCACCAAGATTTTATTCCACTTCTGGCCTGGGGGATGTTTCATAAGTATTCAAAGTCTCAGGTGAAGTCAAAGCATTTTGTTTGTTTTGTCAAGCCTGGAGACATTAAACCTATGACTTCAGTCCTCACTTCTTTTGCTGTGTCTTTCTGCTTAACTGGCCTTTCTTCTCACATCAAAGACATCATGTTTCCCCACATCCCAGCAGCAGCTTTAAATAAAGAAAATGCCTTTTATTTGCTTGCATGATTTCACATGCACGAGCTCTTAATTTGCATACATTAGACGGGACGTTATACACCACCTGCTCGGCTGGTTTTGTTTGCTCCTGTTACCAGTGAGATTTTTCTTTCTTTGACTGGGCTCAATGACAACTACGCTCGAACCCAAAGAGGATGATTTAAAACCGCGAGGAGGCTGGAAGGAGGCAGGAATGCAGATGAAGGAGGACAGAGATGAAAAGCAATCGGAGATGGGCAGAAAGAGAAAGACGGGCAACTGAATGGAAGAATGCACCAATAGCAAGGGTTAATTGAAGCCTGGGGATGCTGGACAGAGTCATGAATTACTAATGGCTGTTTACACAGCTTGCTGCCAGCCTGTCTAAATGAATCACAGCCACCCTATCAGCCGGGACACAGTTGCCTGTTAGCTCATATAAGCAAAGTGACTGAGAGGAAGAAGCCATTATCAACCTAGAGACCGGAGAGTGAGGACAAGACAGAGGGAGAGGGATAATGAGGCGAGGAGGACAATGAGAGAGGGAGAGAGGCAAATGTAGATGAAATATGATCCCCAAAGTGAAAATGGGGGATTCATCAAACAGCAGATGAAGTGTAAATGGGATGTTTTTCTTATCCTGTCACTCAGGAGGATAGATTGTGACACCTGTCCAAGTTTGAAACCTGAGGAAATCAGAGGAGGGGGAGGTTGGCTAATTGTATGATGTTTGATTCTGTAGGGGCAGGAATGTTATGCAATACTGCCGCCTGCTGGTTATGACAACTTCTTCATACTTTCCACTCACATCCCTTTCTTCTTCCACCCCCACAGAGAGCGGTAATAACGCCATATAACGTCTGCTGATGCCATTGCAGCAACACACACACAGGTAAGTGTGTCATTGTAGAGCACAAGAACAATCTCTAAACATTCAAATAAAAATAATAATGTCTTTCCTCATTACAAAAACATTTTATCCCACCTTTTTTTCTCCTTCTTAAGCCCACTAAAACCTAAAAGCCTAATTTACTGATTGAGGTGAAATAAAGGTTTTCGTGGCAATTAAAGTGAGACTATGAATTTTAAAGCATTCTGCCTCTCTTACAAATCAATACCTGGATTCCTGAGTAATAAAATTAGTCAATAAACTTGGGGTTTTTTGAGCCTGTACTGGCTAATGTTAGAAAGCTGTCTAGAAACAGCAGATGTGTTGCTGTATTACTCAGTTAATTTACTGACTTCATTTTCTGGCTGTGGTCCCTCTCGCCTCATGAGTCAGTTCGCCTGTTGACTGTGCCTTTAAACTTTAAAGACACCTCAATCTCCTCGATCGGCCGCTTTAAAGTTTAAAGCAGCTGAAAGTTTAAAGCAGTTGATTGAAGTGCAAACAGTGGCCACAGCTCATGAAAGGTAGCAGTCTTACTTTTTAAGCTACAACCACCACCACCACCGTTGCCACAAGCAATAAGAAATGATAATCTATTAATAATAAAGCAATAATATATTTTTGACAGTCTGTCACGTTATGTTCAAACTCTCGCATTACCCCAATCTGCAACCCCGACTTACCTTACAGTAATAGTGTGAGAGCGTTTAGTGTTTTTGGTGTTTAACTGCTGATTGTCTAAGGTGTGGATAACGGCATGCCTGATGCTGGCTTCTCATATGTAGTAATTTGAAATATAGTACACTCAGTATCTAACTTTAATCTCTTAGAACACCCAAACAGATTATCTGAGTAGTTTTCGGTTCTGGTGTATTGGTTTTAGTCAGTGATGGGATTGATAATTTTGCTTAACGAGCACAAATGAACTCACTTGTACAACTCAGAACTGATTCAGTGTGCTGTATTTGATACCTGTCGATACCAGGCCACTGTTCTTTTAGTGTCAGAGCACTAAAAGAACAGTGTACACGACTCTGTCATCGGCTCTTGCTGAAGCCTTGTACATCCATGAGAGCACCATCTCTGAGCTGACTGTTCTTGGTGGAAATTTGATTGGATAGAGGTGCTGAGATGAGGCACTTCAAACTGTACTTCTGCCATTCTTGTGGCAAACCCTTACCCATGACTGTGCCCACACCCACAGCGCCAGATCATGGAAGGTCTTTCTGGATCAGGAGCATGCCCAGACACTTGCCTGACCTGTATTTAGCCCCGATATGTCTCCTGCTGGGGCAGCACAGTGAGACAGTTAGCTTTGTTTCCTCACATAGAGAAAGTCCTTGGTTTGAATCTACTGGTCAATTGGGGCCATACCCATGGGTACTCTAGCTTCCTTACAGAGTTCAAAGATAGGCATTGGTTAGGTTAAGAGTGCCCCAGCTTGCACTCTTAATTGAATAAGATGATGGGGCGTATACCTCTCATATATCCATTCAGAAATGTGCAGTATTGTGAGCAACCCGTCACTTCTTTAGGTTCTACAGCAACTTATTGAACAATGTGCATGCATGGAAACTGAGTATATAAGGCAAAAGTGGAGTTTGTACAACTCTAATGAGCTTGAAAGTCAATATTTGGTGTTACTGCCTTTTTTCTTCAACGCAGGCTGAAGCCATGCTTTCTTGTAATTTCTTCAAGTAGCTCTCGAAGCTTTATGAAGGACACTCAAAGCGCTTGTTGGAATGTTGGCTGCCCTTTCTTCTGTTTTCTGTCCAGATAATCCCACACTGCTTCAGCAATGTAGGTCTGGGTTCTGGGGAGGCCAATAAGTGTTTCATTGTGTGTGTTTTTCTATCCTGGTATGCATATGGAGCTTGGAAAGAAAACAACTGGACTTCTTCAAGTTTAGTGAACACCTTTCACCTCTCATCCAAGAAGCTTCTTCAGTTCTGAGCTTCTTCAGTTCTGAACTGAAGAAGCTTCTTCATTCTTTATAAGTAGAGGCTGAGTGTTTCAACCAACAACAAAAAAAAGACTTTCCACTGAAAATGGTCAGGTACAATCACTGGACTGAAAACTTTGAAAGCCCTTCAGAAAGCTTGGAGAACTATTGCTCAGAACCACTTTTTAAAAAATTACAACAATTTTGAGGCAACTCAAGACTTTGTACAGGACTGTATATTATAGTGTTTATCTATAAAAACCTTAAAAAATCAACTTTTTTTTCGACTCATAAAATAACATTTCTAAAAATGCTGGTGTCTGTCTCCATTTTATGTTGCAGCATATGAGCCAAATATTAACATTAAATCCAGGACACCAGAGTTTGCCAACCTCAGGCATGCTGTTATCCACCCCTTGTCAGGTGCAGACAATCAGCAATTAAACTCAGGCAACGCTCTCAGACTGCAGGCGAGCACAGGTGCTTTTTATCATACCACTATACGGCCACACTAACTGTGAGTTAAGCCACATTTAGTAATCTAAGTCAATAGAGAAACGATGAGAAATGGTGCGTGTTTTAACAATGTCACGTCAGCTTCTATTTAAACCAAAATGTGAAGCATGCATAAAATCTGTAAAATAGAGATGAAAGAAAACAGTTGAAAATAATCAGTCTGTCAGTTCTTTCGTATAAGAATAAGTCTTGTAATAAGTTTATGAAGCTCTTTAAACCTTAGTATGTAACATGGGGCATTTACCTGAGTATCTTTATGTGTGCATACAGTCTAAACTGCATATTATGCATTTATATAAAGATAAAAATAACATACAGATTACAGTTTGTTGCAATTTCTGAGGTATTTTTTGCCCCCCCCAAAAAATTGATCTAAGTATGAAGGGTCTAAATAAATACTGCAAAATGAGTCCTTAAAATATTCAAAGGCCAAAAAGAATCAAATTTTTACAATTCAAATCTTATGTTAGGAAAAGATTTTGACTTCCATCCATCCATCCATCTTCATCCGCTTTATCTGGGGCCGGGTCACGGGGGCAGCAGCCTAAGCAGAGAAGCCCAGACCTCCCTCTCCCCAGCCACCTCCTCCTTCAGCTTATCTGGGGGAACACCAAGGAGTTCCCAGGCCAGCCAAGAGATATAATCTCTCCAGCGTGTCCTGGGTCTGCCCCGGGGCCTCCTCCCAGTGGGACATGCCCGGAACACCTCACCCAGGAGGCGCCCAGGAGGCATCCTTGTCAGATG